CTGCTGCTGCTGCTGCTGCTGCTGCAGTTGCTGCTGCTGCTGCTGCTGCTGCTGCTGCTGCTGCTGCTGCTCACCTTTAAGGATTTCTGCCTTTCGTCGACTCCACAGACGGCCGAGGTTTGCCTTCGCCTCTGCAGCAGAGCAGCTCGCGAGGGTTTAGGGTTTAGGGTTTAGGGTTTAGGGTTTATAGAAACCACAGAAACGCAAATCTCTTATGCAGTAACATCAGCTGAGAGGGTTTAGGGTTTAGGGTTTATTGGTTAGCGTTTAGGGATTAGGGTTTAGCTTTCTATCTGGGGTGTAGGGTTTAGGGTTTACTGCCTAGTGTTTAGGGTTTAGGGTTTTGTGTAGGGTTTAGGGTTTATGGTGTACTGTCTAGGGTTTAGGGTTTACTATCGAGGGTTTAGGGTTTAGGGTTTACTGCCTAGGGTTTAGGGTTTAGGGTTTAGCGGGCCTCTCACCTGCAGGCAGTCTGCTGGCGGGGCCTGTTAGCAGCGCATGCACGACACCCCGCAGTCTCGCATCAGCAGCAGCAGCAGCAGATGCAGCAGCAGCAGCAGCAGCAGGTGCAGCAGCAGCAGCAGCAGATGCAGCAACAGCAGGAGCAGCAGATGCAGCAGCAGCAGGAACTGCTGATGCGCCGGCGGCATCTGATGCTGTTGCATTTGTTGCTGCTGCGCCTGCTGCTGCTGCATTTGCTGCTGCTGCATTTGCTGCTGCTGCATCTGCTGCTGCTGCATCTGCTGCTGCTGCATCTGCTGCTGCTGCTGCATCTGCTGCTGCAGCCGAAAGCTCACCCGTGAGCTCCTCTCTGGGTTCTGCTGGGGGCCCCCTGGGGGCCCCCAGGGGGAGTGGGGGGCCCCCAAAAGGGTAATATGTCGAGGAGGATAGCTTTGTATAGAAGACGGAGCTGAGAGAAAGAAGAAGAAACAGAAAAAAAAGAAATTAAAGAAAAGAGAGGGTTTAGGGTTTAGGGTTTAGGGTTTGGGGTTTAGGGTTTGGGGTTTAGGGTTTAGGGTTTACTCGTTCGTTTGTATCCCCTGGAAGCCTCCAAAGTGTTGGTGATGAGCGCCACCCTCCATATCTGCTGCTGCTGCTGTTGCTGCTGCTGCTGCTGCTGCTGCCCCTGTTGCTGCTGCTGTTGCTGCTGGTGTTGCTGCTAGTGTTGCTGCTGGCGTTGCTGCTGTTGCTGTTGCTGTTGCTGTTGCTGCTGCTGCTGCTGTTGCTGCTGCTGTTGTTGTTGCTGCTGCTGCTGCTACTGTTGCTGCTGCTGCTGCTGTTGCTGTTGCTGCTACTCTTGCTGCTGCTGCTGTTGCTGCTGCTGCTGCTGCTGCTGAATGCTGCGCATGCAGCAGCAAGGTCAGTGATGCGTTTTTGCTGCTGCAGCGCAGCAAGAGGAGCAGCAACAACTGCAGCAGCAAAAGATGGCCGGCGGTAGT